TTTATTTGTTTACATAATCAGTTAGACATAGATATTCGAATACCTGTTCAGCTACGAGTTATTTATTTTGGATATCAGGTTTTTTGAGTTTTGAAACTAGAATTCATTCAGTATTATATTTTTTCATGTGAATATTTCAAATCGATTTTCACAAGTCGAAAAGAATTCAATTTTGATATATAGAAACCTATAAATATCCAAAAACTAATGTATCTGAGGCATGTCCAGATATTTGTACCAAATGTAACAATATTAACCGATTTAGTTTGGGTATTTTGAATTCAAACTAAACTTAACCTAAAAATAACCAAATAACTAAAACTAACATATTACCATATTTGATTCGGGTGTTATTCTAATGTATAGAAACCTAAAAATATTCAAATATTCATACAATTAATTATATTATGATACATATAAAATTTCTAATACTAATCATGAAAGAAAAAAAATCAATTTATAAAAATATTTTAAACCGGATCTTCACAAGTGAAGAAAAATTCAGTTTTAATAATTAGAAACCTACAAATATCCAAAAACTAAAGAATCTGAGGCCGATTTGGATATTTGTACCGAAAAGTAACAATATTAACCGATTCAGTGAGGGTGTTTTGAATTCAAACTAAATTTAACCTAAAATAATCAAATAACCAAAATTAATCATATTACTGTACTTGATCCGGATTCGATTCTGATGTATAGAAACCTAAAAATATTTAAATATTTATATAATTAATTATATTATGATACATATAAGATATCTAATACTAATTATGTAAGAAAAAAAATATTAATTTATAAAAAAGTAAAAATTAACACCCTCACGGGCGTGCGGGTCAATCTTTAGTTAATTTATTATCTTTTTATTTAAATAGAGAAATTTTGTATAAGACAAACGAACCAAGAGAAAGTTACATAATTACAATTCGATTTAGGACTATCCAAGCCCGAGACCAACACCGACCCAGAAAATTTGGATCCCCAATTTCAAAATAAGTTAGAATTCCCTAATATGCTTCAGAATAAGGTTTCACTCATTCTTTCTTGACCGTTCGATTTCTTGAAATCTCTCATAACCCTACTTAATCGCTAGAGAAAAAAGAATCAAAACCCAGATAATGTTGAATCGAGCCGATTCTGATCCGAATGCGAAAGAAGACGGTCCAGTAGTGTCGTAGAAGAAACGGCAGTAGTCACATTTGAAACCGGAGAAGTAACTGAGGATGACATCATAAACCCAAGCACCAGTGATAAATTTCGACCCATAAACCGAGGAAATTCCCACTGAGAAGGAGGCAGATGAAAAGGAGGAAAATTCAAGTGATAAAGAGGAAGAAAAGAGATCCAGAGAAGAAAAGAAGGAACCTGGAGAAGATAAAAAAGAATTCGGAGAAAGAGATGAGGAAGAATCCGGCGAAGGAGAGGAAGTGGAAGCCGGAGAAGATGAAAAAGAATCCAACGAAGGAGATGAAGTGCAAGATGAAAAGGAATACAGAGAAGGTGATGAAGTAGAATCCGTAGAAAATGAAAAGGAACCAGGAGAAGAAGATGAAGAATTCTTGGAATCCAGAGAAGGAGCTGTAGTGGAGTCCTAAATAAGAAATGACGAACAAGCTGAAGAGACGGGGGAGACCCAAGCAGCAAGATAACATGAAACTGAGTCACATGCATGGGTAAGAAATTTATACGTAAATTTATAGAACTTTAAAACTTGAAAATTTGGTGAAACATGATTTGAATATTACTACTCTAAGAAAGTGAAATTGCGTAAAACAAAGTGAAATTTCGAGTAAGTGTAGTATTGGGAAATAAAGTAAAACTTGTACTGTTTGGAGAACTTTGTAAAAATAAGTTGAACTTCTACTGTAGCTGTTGACAAACTTTAAGAAAGTATGAAAAACCTCACCTTTATGATTGTCTAACTAAGTCCAACTTTGTGAAACGTTATGTTGATGGTTGTAACATGTAGAACGTGATTTGGTTTTAAACTTGAAGATGACGAAGAAGAAGGCATGCAACCGCTGAATAAGTGCTTTTCTTGTTTAGTGAATAAAGACAAGCTTTGGTACCTGATTTCATCCTAAGTTTAAGCACTAAAAAAAGTAGCACCTAACAAGTAGTATTAGAGTAATCCAGATTTGATTGCAAGTGCTAGAAAAAATTATGAAAGTGATATCAGGAAAGTTCGAGGAAGAGAGGTTTGATGAAAAATGTGATTTTCGGTTATGAAGTATAAGATGCTAATGAAGTTGGAGCTTCTAGAGTTAGACTCTACTATTCAGGAAGTTTAAGACAAGTCTTCTGAAACAAACAAGGAGATAGATGAAGAACTCCCAGACGTCAAACCAGATATGTTGAAGGACAAAAAGGTCAAAATCTAATATGCATGAGCCTAGAAAATTTAGTTATGCCTAAGGTGATGGGGAAAACAACTGCACTTGGAGTTTGGAAGGCTTTGGAAAGAGATTACCAAACTAAAACATTACCTAATTGGATATACTTGAAGCAGAGGTTTGTGAGCTTCAAGATGGAAGATCACAAGCGCAAAGAGGGAAATTTGAATACTTTTCAAGGTAGTTTCAGATCTTGCAAGTCTTAACATCAACATCAGCGATGAAGACCAGGCAATTAAAGTTCTATCTAGCTTACCCCAGCAATTCGATTCACTAGTTAACACGCTCAAGTAAGAGATTGCAAAAGAAACTAGCTCTTACTATGAACGATGTGATTAACTTAAAAAAATTGAACTTAAGGAGAAGGGAGTGCCAAACAAATCAAGGTCTGACGCAGAAGGTTTGTACGTGGAATCAAGGGGCAGATCAAAGAAAAAAGGTTGTGATAAGTGATGAAGCTCTTTTTTGTTGTCTTCCATATTCATCAAAATTATATTGTATCCGGAGAAAATATCCATGAAAGACAACAACTTGCGTCCGGCGGCTTCCTCTACCAATCGATCTTATATGTGGTAACAAGAAACTATCCTTTAGGAAGGCTTTGTTTAGGTCACTGAAATCTGTGCACACTCTCCACTTCTTGTTTCCTTTTTTAGCAATCACATGATTGGCTATTTCACTTCTCTCATTGACCCGATTTTCAGGAGTTTATCGACTTCGTCATTGACTGCTTTAGCTCACTCGGATTCCAATTTTTGTCGTTTTTGCTTAATAGGCTTAAACGTTGGATCGAAGTTTAGTTCGTAAGAAATGACATCGATGTTGATTCCCGACATGTCTTCAGCCGACCATGCAAACAAATCAAGGTTCTATTTTAAGAATGAGAGGAGCTCGTTCTTGAGTTCGAATTTCAAAGGAGAGATCGTTTCCTATGCATATGCACCTTTTCAGGAATCGATTATCGAACTGTTCTATCCTTTCTTGGAATTTTTCTACCCATGATCCCTCCTTGTTTCTTAGATTGTTTCGGTTTCTAGAGGTTGTACCTTTTGAAATTGTTCAGGTAACAGCTTGCGGGGATTTCTGACTCCCTTATATCATTATGCCTCTTGTTGATGAGGATAATTTCACGCATTGGTGGTAGATCGATGGAACGGTTTTCATCCTTCAGAGCCAAGTCCTCCAAAGTACGTCATTGAAAGGCATACACTGATCTATGACTATGAATTTGATTACATGTTAAACATCATTAGCTTTCATGACTAGCAGTACCAAAACCGGGGAGAGGGGGTGGGGTCACGGTCACTCTTGGACTATCACAATTTAGAAAATTCAATTAATATTTTTGTTTAGTTCAATATAAAATAGAGATTATTTGCTCTCATACCATAAATCACCTCCCTAATTAGCAAAATACCTATAATTTGTCTCCTAATTTAATGATCAAAATGCCCTTCTGTCTCTCTCCTCCTACACTTCTAGGCATGTCAGCCTACCAATTTTTTTTTTTTTAACTTTCTCTCTCTCTCGCTCTCTTCTTCATCTCCTTTTTAATCATCTTTTTCTCCCTAATTTCCTCTTTAAATATTCTATATGTTTCGTTTTTGTTTTCCCTAGTTTTGTCTCATCTGTTTTCTAATTATTTTCATTTATATGTTTTCTAGTGTCGTTCTGGTTAAAAAAAAATATTATATCTATGTTTATTATATGTTTTAAAATTACAAGTAAAACATATGTTAACGCATTACAAAGTTAACATTTGTGACATGTTAACCAACTTTTGTATCTTGTTTCAAATTTTATATCTTGTTACAAATTTTGTAAACTCACTAATATATTTTGTAGATGTTAACAGATGTCTTATCCGTTAACAAATACATGTAACATAATTGTTAACAGAGGTGTTAAGTGTTAACATTTTTGTAGATATCAATACATGCGTTAAGTATTATATGTTAACAAATAAATATTGTTGAAGTTTCAATTTGTCTCTCGAACTGAGTAAATTTATCAGGTAACAAAACATGTATCAGTTAACAAATGAGTTAACTGCTCACAATTACTCTAACACTAATATCGGATTTATAAAAATTATAGATTTTAGAGATGTTGAAATCTTGTAATTTATGTTTTCAATTATATCAAATGTTAAATTATTTCATCTATTATGATATTTTATATTATATATTAAAAATATTATTATTTGATAATATTTTTAGCATTTAACAAAATCTAACAACACATGTGGACAACATGTTTTCTCCTAACATTCCTCTCTTACCAGCATAAAAATTTTCAGTTAAAAAGGGTATTTTAGACATTTCTAAGTATAATTTATACAATTGGACCATTAATATCCATCAATAGACAATCCTCTAATATGTGGACAACCCTCTAATATGGATCCTCGGTTAAAAATATTACGCTAATTGTCTCTATAAAATATGCATTACTTTAAAATTCAAAAATGGAAACACAGTGCCTAAAGTTCATGTCGTATTTTTTAATATTTGTTTAATTCAATATGAAAAAAAACAAGACGTGTATTATTCAAATTGAAGTAGATCTTTTTCCTTTTTTTCTTTTTTTTGAAACAAGATTTTTTCCCCTCAAACTAGTAATTCAGTGACCAAAATAACAGATGAGAATAATCTCTTCCATTAAATTTAATTAATATATAACTTCATCTTCAGGTTTTTCTTTTTCCAGAACTCGTAGGCAAGAACTGCGTTCTAATACAGTGGCCTGGGAGAACACAAAAGATAGATAACTTAAAATTTTATTTACGTTTTTAATACTGAACTATTTGTTTCCTTCGTCATCTAATTTACGCATCTGCTAGTCACTTGCACTTGTCCTTGTGGTGAGCGCCGGTGGCAGAAGAAGAAGCGGCTGTTTCAACATATTGCTCGGCGAGTTTCTTAATCTTGTCCCCTTCTTTGATCAAGAAGTTGGCACTCTTGGCTTTGCTATGATACTTCATCACTTTCTCTCTGGTTTTCGTCACTGCCCATCTGTATTGTTCTACGTTTATCACTCCGCTCTTACACAGTGGTCTTATATGTTCCTTGATGTATGCCTCAACCTATAAAGTAGACAAAAACGGAATCAACACAGGAAATGAGCAATTTTTACTTTAAGAAATTAATAACTTTTATTACCTTCTTGATGATGGAGTCACTGAACCCATCAGCTTTGCTGTTCTCTTCTTTAGACGGCTTCTCGCTTGGATTACAATTTGGGATCCTTTTGGGCAGTTTTTTCTCGAAGTTTGAAGCGATGAACTCTCTGTGCGTGTTGCTCTCGCACTCTGAATCGGGTGCTTTAGCTTGAAGACCGTTATCCGCTGATCCTTCAATGAGAGGTTTCTCAACTAGTTTCTCTGTCCCAGGTCCGTACAGTTCTTCACACTCAGCTAAAGAAAGGATCTCACCTCCCTCTCTTTCTCCCTCGCCCTCTGCCTCGGCCTCAGGTACAGGCTCCATAGGAACAAAGCTCTTCCCATCTTCTTCACCATTTGTTGTCCCTTTCAGGTTTATTGTTGTTTCTTCATTCCCTAAGACTTCAGATTGATTTAGAACTTTCTCAGGTTGAACAGTGGATAAAACTACCTTCACTTTAGTCAAACCTTCATCCTGCTGTGTTTCTGAAGCTTTTTTGGCCTTGGTAGCACCAATATAATCTTCGTCTTCCAACTCATACTCAAAATCCCCAAAGATGTCTGCATCAGGAAATGAACCAATGTCCAGTACATTATCTGGACCTATCTCTCTAGCTTTGTCCAAAGAACTGTCTTCTTTATCCAGAGGAGCTTCTGATGAACGGTTCGGGCTGTTTGGTGGTGAATCAACAAGACCGGCTGCTCTGAGCGCTTGAAGGACGGCTAGATCATCTGAATCTTTATCAACAACATGTTCTATTCCGTTATTAGACAGTGGTAATGAAGTATTTGATTCTACAGCATTATTGTCCATCACTTTGCTCTCTGAATGGTGCAGTATTTCTTGTGAGCATAGATTCAGATACACAACTTTGCTACTTGATTTGTCAGCGATCACTTTCTCAATATTTATAGCATCAGCAACGGCTAGTTCTGTCGCAGCACTTCTTCGAACTTCCAGAAGATTTTCTTTCTTCAAGAAATGTTCTGTCAAGCGATATAGTTGTGCCTGCATTCAAGAGTGATTCTCTTATGAACAAAAACAATGTATAATCGTTATAGAAGCACACATGGCAACCGATGAAGCTAGCTAGAGAGAAGCATGATATCTTGTAAAATAAATTTGATCCACAAATTGGGTGGGGATAAAGAAAAAACCTTGTATGATCTCAACCTTACAACCCTTAGAGCAGATATTCCGCAGACGTCCCAAATACAATATGAAATGACCTCCTAATAGTTGCAAGTAGACTTCCCTTTCATATGTGTGTATATCTATACTAAGTGAAACATGTACTAATAGCTCAAGTGATCAAGTCTATTCTAGCATCAAACCTAGAGCTAACAAGAATATCAAAAGAGTGACATCCCTTAAATATCTGGAAATCAGGTAACTTATTATGAGCCTAGAACTAATCAATAGCACGAGAAATAGAAATTTCATAAAAGCTATTCACGTACCTGTCTAACTGTCACAGGAACTTTATTATGGCGACTGGTCGCAAGGCTTGGCCTCATATCAGCTGGAAGTTGAGCCTGATAGCAATCATAGAAACAAACAAGCAAAAATTTCAAACAACAGATATGTAAAAGCTGACAAGGCAAGGGATGAATATCACACACCAACAATGGATAATTCCCTTTGAGCTCAGGAGAGCCTTCTTTGTCTTCGCTTGAGTTGCTGCCTGCTAAAGCTTTCTTTCTAGCAAGAACCTGCAATGCCCATTTCCTTTTGTCTTTCTTCAGCTCATCTGGATTCTCAAAAATAGGCGGTTTGCTTCCCGAGTTTATTTTTGTTCCAGCAGCATTTGAGTTGCTCCCCTTGACATCACTGCTCTTTGGTAAGGTCTTTTCCAGTCCTGTGGTTTTTGCATTGTTTTGAGAGATCCCCGTTTCTTTCGATCCCACAAGAGGTTTGATATCATGATTTCTCGGGAACACAGAGGTATCTGCCAAATATAATCTGGAGAGAATAGGATCTGAAGCCTGTGGGGTTTCAGATGAAACATTTGTCTCGGCGTCGGCTGGTTTTTTCTTCAAGAGGCTAAGAACAGACTTCAGAGTCTCAATTTTCTCAGGCTTTCCAGTTTTCATGCACCGATGCTTCCAGAACTCGACTTCACAGTCCCGATGCCATGCAGTTTTCCGTTTCCCATTTGAATCTGCATAAATTTTTTTAGTGAGATTCTCTCGGACTTTTCCTTTCTGCAGCATCAACTTCTTTGCCTTCAATGCCAGAGCCGGAATCTTTGCTTCATCCGTTTTGGACCCTGCCACAGCAGCTCTGAAGGCGGCCAAGAGTTTTGGATCAAATTGGTCTTTTCTGATGTCTTCCATTGATTTGTTTCGAACAGCCTCTCTTATTTCTTTCCTTAGTTTCTCAACCAGAACCAATGACTCTTTATCATCTTCCGGTGTCTTCTTAATCTTCTTTACTCTCAAACCAACAGGATTCTCTCCTTCGGAAGACTTATCCGCAGTATTTGGAAGCGTGGGTTTCTTTTTACTCCCAAATCCTTTAACAATGCTGAAAATATCAACAGTTGTATTGTTTGAAGGGGATCTGCTCTCGTGCTGAATGGGAGCTTTTTCTTCCATTTCCTCAAGCTTTGGTTTAACAAGACGTTCTGCAATCTCAGTCTTAGTTTTCGCATTGTCATCATCACCACTGGTAAAGAAATGGCGCAGAGAAAGGACACACGCTCAAACATTTGACACGAATCAGAGTGAAGAGGGAATGATGATACCAAGAAAAGAAGATTTCATCTGTGAAACTGACCTGCAATCTGAATGTTTTCTCTTTAAGCTGACAACACTAGCAACATCTGAATTGGAAACGGCTGTACTGGAAAGAGCTGAAAACACAATACAGCATATCTGATCATGTTAAACTATCCATATGCAGGTAAAATTCCAAAAAATGAAAGAAAAAGGAAAACAAAGGAAAGCATGTTTCTTACATTTTTCAACATTGACAGACAGACACTCCTTTTCTTCAAAACCTGTAACAGGGTCTACAGTTGCACAAAAGGCAAAATTATCACTCCCACTAGTAACTAGGAACAAAGCATATTGAGAATCTATAAGTGGCAAGAACGTACAACTAAGCCTCGGAGGAAATTGTATTACTAATCAATATACCTGCTCTATTCTCCATGGGTGCAGCAAACAGTGGCTGATTTGAATCAGATGGTAACTCAGATGATAAATTATGTGGCAAGGACTGCGTGAACTCCAACTTTCCTGGGGCCTGCTCTGTATAATCCTTCCTACTACATATATCCAGCTGCGAGCTATCAGGATTTCCGTACACCGTAGGTTGAACTAACGACGCAGTGGTATCACTTGGTTTCATAGGCCACTCGTCTGCTTTGACTGTTGATACGACAAGAGCTGTCTCGCCATCATCAGCAACTGTGACTGAAAAATTTCCAGAGTAAATAGCCTCGACTGAGCATTCGCCATTTGTGGTTTCAGGCTCCGGAGGGTTTGTTGTGTCCATTGGTGAAGCATCAGATTCGAGCGGTCTTTCACTTGAGAGACACCTGTTCAAACAGAGAACGAAAGACTGACAAGATTGCTGAAAAATATAGAGAAAGGGGATAATATGGCTAAGTAACTGATTCAATTTAAACATAAGCCTGGTACTCGGAAAAAATTAGCAAATCAGTGGAAGGCTGGAAGCTCTCCCATAAAAATATGTCTGCCTAATCGGCTAATACTACCGATAAAATGAACGAGACATTACGCGAATGGAACCTACCTCGGACACTCCCATGTATCCTCTGATGCAATTTCCAGATCAAAACCCACACAAACAGCATGATACCTATTAGCACATAGAGGAAAGTAACACTTAGGTCTTAGAAGGTAACTTTTATGTTCAAACATATAAGACCACATAAGAACGCTCTAAAGATGAACACTCTAGAACAATAGAAAGGTAAGAATATGCACGTATATAAGAATAAAGACCAGTATCTTTGTCGTTTCCATATATATTTTAAACTGCCTTCCTGCAATAGTGATCGTTAGGAACCGGTAGGTAAACTAAGCTATAAACACAATGATCTTTATCTAAGAGTATAGAAGACACAAACATTATATGGCACTGTAACAACTTAGATAGGACCAGAAGTTCACCAGTCGGAGTAACTTCAGTGATCCAACAGAGGTAAAAGAAGATGAGACTTTACACATAAGAAACAGCCAATTAATAATGTTGAGCTCCACTAATAAGGTTCACCAGGTAATAGTTACCATGTGTCACAAGAATCACAAGCAATTGATGTATCAAGGTTGGAATCCCCTCCAATGTAATTGAAGCTGTTACGTATCTTGCAGAGATCTCCATCTAAACAGACAACTGCCTACAAAATGATTAGAAAAACTTAACAATGCACTTTGTAGTAACTTGGAATAGGCATATATGATAATACTTACATTTTCGTCAATATAGTGTGAAGGAGAAGAGAGGGCGTCAGTCTCCTCCTCAACACACCAATCTTCATCTCTGCATGTATTTGATAGTTACGCTTAACGTCAGCAGATCACAGCAGCTTTTCAGCATAACAGTAATGTATGGTATCAACTTTTCAATCACTTGATAATGTTATGTCAGTTTAGTATCAATTCATTCACGATATGCCACTCAACAAAGACACCAGTAAGATCGTTGAGGAAAGTAAAGCTCATCAGCGAGGAAAAAAAAGCATGAAAATGGTACCCTGAAAACGGAACCTCATCAACCTTGCTGCTTTCCCCTGAATCATTCACCTTGACAATCAAACAGAAAACACATCAGCTAAACCAAGAGCTCCACTTACAAAAATGATGAGAAAGGTTGAGATAAAAAAAAAACTAAAAAAAAAAAGAGATTAATACAGGAACACATGTAATCAACTGAAACTCTCTCTGACATAAAGGGCAGAGGTTCATGATCGAAGACCAATTATCAATGCATTCAAAGCAGAACCTGAAATATTAGAGATAGGCACCAATCATCAGTCTGCTCCATGACAAACAGTTCATCAAACACAAAGCAGTAAGGACTCCAAGAAATTATTACCAGTGCTGGCAACAATCAAGAAGGCCTCTATCAACAATGATGTCCATGCAGATCCCACATCTTTCCCCTTCAAATCCAGCCATATCCTGTTCAAAACAAACTCAAAAATCAAAACAAGAACTTTATAATGCACAAACACAGTCTTACATAAAACCTCATCTTTGATAGTTAAAAGAAAAAAACACAACAAGCCCTAGAAAACAAACGTGACACAAATAAAACGAAATCCTTTATGTTCATGATTCTAAACTCTGAAGCTCCATTTACAAGGTTTTGCAGGAGAACCATTCAAAAAGATAAAAGTGGACCCATGATTAGGTCAACCAAAAGCGACTAAAATAAGCACAGAAAGTCCAAGTTTTATACTAACATTATGTTCAACTTCAGCAGCTTCGTCTTCAAGCAAGTTACCAGCGTCAAAATCGAGCTCCATTTTCTGAAATCAAAACCCCCACATGAAGTGATCAAAGACGAAATCGAACCCTAAAAAGAAAAATTAATCTCTGTAAACCCCCAGAATCACTTACCTCGGATCAAAAGCTACGAAACCTAGAGAGATATCTTAGAACCCACCCCAGGATGAAACAAAAATATCTTCGCTGGAAAATTGATAAAAAGGTGAAAGTTTCTCTCACCAAGGGCAAAACTGGAAAAAGTTGTCAAATTTTACGGAGGGTGAAGATGATGACGTCACCTTTTAGTCCTCAAAGAAACTTTGGAAAGAAATGAAATTTAAGTCTTCATTTCGCTTAAGTATAAAAATTTCCGTTTTTGAAACGATTATTAACACCTTTCTGGGTCGAATAATATAACTTTCTGCTACGTGTGGGGTCGTTTGTGTGAACTCACCAATAAAATGAGCCCAATTTTGTAAACCTTCTATTGAATTCGAAATTTTTTTATCTATTTTCTTTTCAAACCCCGTACTTTCTATTAAAGTCAACAAGACGCCACATAATTTCATTCTTATAAAATCAATCCTATTCCTTTGCTTTGCCTCCTTAGTGGAAATATACTACTGATTTACAAGATACAACGGGCCAAATTTTCAAAATTCAAAACTCATTTACAACATGTTTTATGCGCACTTTTTTGTTGTTCTCTCGGCTATCAAAACTCTGAAGCATGATGAAGCATTGTTTCTAGGTTACTCGGGCAAGTATATTGTTGAGATTTAGTGAATAAGCTCATGAAAGAATCAAGTTGGACTCAGACGTGATGAAGAAGCAACAATGTATTAATGACAAAATCACGTGGAGCTTCCTCGTTGCAGGACCACAACACTAGCCGTTTGCTGCAGCTGATAAAGACAAAAGCAAACTGCTATTTGTTGGGTATTGAACTAGAAGATAAGACCGAGTTCATTGATTTAGTTTCGTACAAGACGAGTAATGAAGTGCAATCAAAACGGAATCAAAGAGGCATCTAGGTCATTGAGTTCTTTACAATATAAGAGATACATTGTACTGAGAACAGAGTAACACTTAGAGAAGAAAAAAAAGAAGAGCTTTGTACACAGCATAAATTTGTATTTAAGTTCTAGGGAAAGGGGTAGAGAGTGAGACCGAGAGAATCATTGTAAGGGATTTGAGGTGAGTGAAATCTTTCTTGTAACCTCTGATCTAGTGGATTCCGGGAGTGAGTTCCCAGCCCAGACTAACACCCTTGTTAACGGGTGTAACTGGGTTAACAATATCTGTCATGTTCTTGTGTTCTTCATTTTGTTGTGTGCTATGCTTTCTATGTTTCTTACTCTTCCATACGTATATGAAGTCTGTCTTGTCTTGAGGCTTATTCTTGGTGTGTGGTAGGAAATTATATGCTAAAGGAGACGTTTTGAGGTTGTGTTGTTCTTCACATATTAGTATCAGAGCGCCAGGTTGTAGTAACTGGTGGTGGTTTTCTGAAGACTTAACAGTCAAACAGAAGCCATGACAACATCAAGTATTAAGCTGGAGAAGTTTGATGGTCATGGGGATTATACGCTGTGGAAAGACAAGTTGGTAGCTCAGATAGATCTTCATGATTCCTCTGGATCAACTCAGACTGCAGTAATATTGATCAACAAAACTCCTTCTGCAATAAATTTTGAGATTCCAGACAAGAAATGGTCTGGTAAGTCTCCTGGGTACAGCTACCTGAGAAGGTTTGGATGCGTTTATTTTGCTCATACAGATGATGGTAAGCTTACACCAAGAGCAAAGAAAGCAGTGATGCTTGGTTATCCATCAGGAGTTAAAGGCTACAAAGTCTGGTTGCTAGAAGAAAGGAAATATATGATCAGTAGGAATGTGATATTTCAAGAAAATGATGTATACAAAGATGTGGTTCAGCGAGGGAAACAGATTCAGGGTAGTCAGTATGAAAGTTCAGAGGTTACTTTCAACATTGATCCAGAGGAAACTGAAGATGCAGGTTCAGGTGGAGATCTCTCAGAAGAGATAGGATCCCTGGGAGACTCCACACCTGATGGCAATGGTCAGACTGAAGATACTGAAGCTACCAAAGAAGAAGACCTTGATCATCAAGAACATGTAGATGAACAAGATCAAAATCAGAATCATGAAGCTGTTGAATCACCAGAGAGTTATCATCTTGTCAGAGACAGAGCTAGAAGGGAAGTAAGAGCTCTAAGGAGATTTGAAGTGGAGGGGTACTTTAGTGAGGATACTGACGATGAAGATGACTACTTTGATGCAGAAGCACTCATTACTACGGTTGATGGAGAGATTAAAGAACCTAGAAGTTATCAAGAAGCAAGGCTTAGTGATGATTGGGAGTGCTGGAAAGATGGAATGAGTGATGAGATGGTATCATTGGACAAGAATCATACATGGACTGTAGTTGAGAGTCCAAAAGGACAACATGTAATTGGTTGCCGCTGGATTTATAAATATAAATCTGGAATTCCAGGGGTTGAACCACCAAGGTACAAGGGTAGACTTGTTGCTAAAGGATATGCTCAGATAGAGGGAGTAGACTATACTGAGATCTTTTATCCAGTAGTCAGACATGTATCTATAAGGATATTACTGTCTGTTGTTGTTGAAGAAGATCTATAGCCGGAACAGCTTGATGTCAATACTATCTTCTTGCATGGAGAGCTAGATGAAAATATCTACATGGAACCTCCTGAAGGGTTTGAAGATCGCTTTAAATCAAACCAAGTTTGTTTTTTTTTTGAATAAAGCACGGTATGGTCTTAAGCAAGCACCAAGGATGTGGAATGAGAAGTTTGATGGGTATATGTCTGAGATTGGTTTCACCAAAAGTCTCAGAGACAGTTGCGTGTATATCAAGACATATGAAGATGATTCAAAGGTCTATTTACTCATCTATGTAGATGATATGTTGGTGGTAGATAAAGACAAGAGAGTCATTTCTGATCTGAAGCAGAAGCTAAGTGATAAATTCTACATGAAAGATCTAGGACCAGCTAAGAAAATTCTTGGTGTGGAGATCAAAAGAGACCGAGTTGCAGGGAAGTTGTGGATGGGTCAGGAAAGTTATCTCAGAAAAGTGTTGGAGTTATATATGATGGATGGGTCTAATAAAGTGATAACACCACTAGGTGCTCACTTAAAGATGAAAGCTGCAACACCAGAACAACTGAGAAGTGAAGGAGAATACATGAAGTCGGTTCCTTATGCTAATGCACTAGGAATCATCATGTATTCTATGATTGGTACAAGACCTGATCTAGGGTATCCAGTGGGAATTATCAGCAGGTTCATGGGGAATCCTATCAAAGAACATTGGTTAGGAGTCAAATGGATCTTGAGATACATAAAAGGTACACTGGAGACAAAGCTTTGCTACAAGAAAGGGTCAGAATTTGTTCTTAGAGGTTATTGCGACTCAGATTATGCAGCAAATATGGATAGTAGGAGATCTATCAGTGGTGTGGTGTTCACTCTTGGAGGAAACACAATCAGTTGGAGATATTCTCTTCAACGAGTGGTAGCTTTATCCACTACTGAAGCAGAGTACATGGCTCTAACAGATGCTGTAAAAGAAGCATTATGGCTTAAAGGACTTCTCAAAGAATTTGGATATGAGCAAGGAAGGGTTGAGATTTTCTGTGACTCTCAAAGTGCCATATCACTGTCAAAGAACAATTTCCATCATGAAAGAAACAAGCATGTGGACACTAAGTTTCACAAGATCAGACAAGTCATTGCCGATGGTCATGTGAGTGTGTTGAAGATATCTACATTGAGCAATCCTGCTGATATCTTCACAAAAGTCTTACCAGTCAGTAAGTTTCAAACCGCACTGAACTTACTGAGGGTGAAGACTGAGTAATCCTTCACAGGATCCAGGACATGAATCCTCCAACTAGATCACAAGTGTTAATCTCTATCTCTCATGTATGTGCTTCTGTTTGAGTATGGTTCATGATCTTTATTCACTAGGTGGAGAATTGTTGAGATTTAGTGAATAAGCTCATGAAAGAATCAAGTTGGACTCAGACGTGATGAAGAAGCAACAATGTATTAATGAACACGTGGAGCTTCCTCGTTGCAGGACCACAACACTAGCCGTTTGCTACAGCTGATAAAGGCAAAAGCAAACTGCTATTTGTCGGGTATTGAACTAGAAGATAAGACCGATTTCATTGATTTGGTTTCGTACAAGACGAGTAATGAAGTGCAATCAAAACGGAATCAAAGAGGCATCTAGGTCACTGAGTTCTTTACTACATAAGAGATACATTGTACTGAGAATAGAGTAACACTTAGAGAAGGAAAACATAAGAGCTTTGTACACCGCATAAACTTGTATTTAAGTTCTTGGGAAAGGGGTAGAGAGTGAGACCGAGAGAAGCATTGTAAGGGATTTGAGGTGAGTGAAATCTTTCTTGTAACCTCTGATCTAGTGGATTCCGGGAGTGAGTTCCCGGCCCAGACTAACACCCTTGTTAACGGGTGTAACTGGGTTAACAATCTCTGTCGTGTTCTTGTGTTCTTCATTTTGTTGTGTGCTCTGCTTTCTCTGTTTCTTACTCTTCCATACGTATATGAAGTTTGTCTTGTCTTGAGTCTTATTCTTGGTGTGTGGTAGGAAAGTATATGCTAAAGGAGACGTCTTAAGGCTGTATTGTCCTTCACATACATATCGACCATTCCAAACATTGTCGGCCAGGATGGCGTTAACAGCGTCGGTAGGATGAAACTGGTCTCACCATAGATGACTGGCGGCGTTAGAGCAAGCCATTTCCGGCGAGATGCACGGAAGCCATCCCTTGTACGTCCCTAGCCCACAACAATCCTTCGTCGTCTCACTGAAACCTGACTACAACACACACACAACTAAGATTAAACCATACTCTCAGAAGTCTCTATGTTCCATGTGAAGGCTTCTCAAGTGGATTGTAATGATATTTTGTTAGCAATCAAAGTCCTTTTTCTGAATTGAGAATTGAGATAGAAGTGTTGTTTTTGTTGTTGCTTACCGTACAGTTGGTGGTTCTTGAGGATATTCATTGAGCTTTCAAACACATCGCAGTAGATAATTGATATGCGTACGCCCCGAAGCTCACGGTTAAGCTGATCAACAGTGTATCTCATGACGAAGTTGTATTCCATGTCAGGCTGTTCACATCCCCTGAACACTCTCCGTTCTAGCGCCTGTATTTCTGAAAGTATTAAGGTGCACATCCAATCGGTGGCAACCCCATCACCACCATCCTCCTCACTTTGACATTGTACAAGCTCTGTCAAACAAACATAATACTTCATTTATTAGTAGAGATCAAAGGACGATATATAACTCCAACGTTGAAAACATATAACTCTGTGATCTTTAGAGGCATCAAGAGCTTTCGGAAACCATTCAGAGATCCAAAATAGAACAAAGGGTTGTCGTTTGATTTATATAGGCGAATTTTTGTGTAATAATCAGTTAAAAAATTGTCAGTTTTATGGGCTATAAGACTACCACCACCTAGAGAAGACATAAAACATAGTAATGAAGTTAACCTTGAGTTCCTGTCTCATATTGGAAGACAAGAACTGATTAAAAAGCTAGCGAGAGTAGAGACTCTGCAGCACGTTAGAGATGTTTTTGATATAGAAATGTATGTAATCATTCACTCCAATTGATATATGGAAAACCGATTTCGAGACAAGACGCTCCGAAGCTTCCTCCCCAGTGCTCAGTTTCATCTGCTGGAACATATCTACAAATTGCTCAACCTGCATCGCAAACGAAGCCCTCTGGTACTGCCCAAAAAAAAAACATTCTTCTCATCAGATGGTATTGTTCAAAAAAACGAACTTAAAAAGAGTCTTAAGAGTAGTACCAGTTCAGATCCACTAGACAAGATGATACCAGCACCGGCTGATGCAAAGTTCACGCCGTGAATCATGTCTTCAACATAATGAATCGGCTTAACCGGGAAGAACAGTTAAAGTCCAGTTAGAAAGATCAACTTTCCGTGAATCACGTCTTCAGAAAATTCCCATCTATTTGTTTCCTCTCTTGATCCAATCTGTTTCAATACATTGATTACTGAAGGAAAAAAGATGAAGAGAAGTCCTTGCTCTTGTGCCTCTCTAGCCGATCTCCTCTTGCAAATGCTATGCATTCACTAACATAGAACCATGATCATGCAACTTCAGAGAAATCAATGAAGATGTTTTTTAACAATACTTCAGTTCTAAGCTTTGGTTCGGTAACTAGCAGCTGCGGCTAGTCGCTGGAGTTTATTAAACGAACAGGGGTATTAGCATTAGCACACTAATGTAATTATCATCAAAGCTTTACAACATGAGGTGCTTCTATAGTTAATAGGTTTAACTGGAGATTAATAACTGAACTTAGTTAACTATTTTGAAGTGCCAGTCAAAGCTTACAAATACTACAAGGGGAAATCATTCATTTCATGTGATTACATTTCTGTGTGCAAGCTTCCCAATCAAGAAAAGATGAGAGGGCAAAATGGTCATATATCCCTCCCTGACCAAAAGCACACCAATTACAACCAAAGATTCAATATTTCTTCTTCTGCTAGTCTCCAAGAAGAAAAATATTCATAAATGAATGTTGTGCACTTCAAACATTGAATCCAAACCAAACTGCATTAATAGTAACGCCATTGTTCTGCGGATCACATTAATCAGTTAGGGAATCTTGTGGCTCTTCTTCCCCACGGACATTGCTGCTGGTACTGCAGTCCAACACCATTATTGTTGCCTACATTGTTTCCCTTTTCTGTAAACCTTCTCATTCTCATTCTCATTCTCTCTTCTTTCATGTTTGCAAACCGAGAGTCCAGCGTCTGAGGCCCTTGCCTCTGTCCTCCTCCTCCATTTCCTTGCTTTTGATCTATCTTCTCCCATTGCTGCTGCTGCTGCATTGTGTTTTCATATTATAATCAATCAGTCACTTCCAAAATCTCTTTTGTTAGTATATGCCAATAAGTCATCATAATGCTCATATAGAACACAGATTAACATATTGCATCAGTTTCCAAGCGTAACTGGACTTGTTCACTTCTCATGAATAAGGAATTAAAGATCAGACGTAAAATATATGACAACCTAACTGATAGATATGAATAATTTACCTTTGCGACAAACGCTCTTGGTGCAGATCCATACGGAGCTTGTGGAGTAATGAACCTGCACAAAAGGTAAAAAGGTTGAATAACTAGAATAGCTTTGCAGGGAGGCGAGCCACCTATATCAATCATCAGAAGCCAATAGAGCAACGTTCTGATACCTAGTTCTTGGTAACAGATTATTAACTTCTTACCAACATAAAAGGATCAAAGAAGAAAGCTATTAACTACACGCATAAATAAAGAAAGAGCCTTTTATAACAGACAAAACAACAATTCATGATTCTGGATTCCTCAGCGAACATAAAGCATGCAGCAAGCTGCTGCAGGATGGGTCAGTGAATGCTTAAGGCAACAACTCCAGTTCCCCAGTAGCTAGATGAATCAGGGGCTAACAGCAGCAGACTGAAAGACAATCCCTCATGGTGTCCCAGTAGCTATGCATCTACCGTTTCAATGTCACAACTCACAACAATAGGTCAACAAACCCAAGCTACACTCTTCAGGACGCAGCAGAGACAGAATCATACATTTAGGAGGTTGATATGAATGCAACTGATCTTCATAAATTGAGTGCGGTAACATCAAGGATCATGTACGGTACCATATTACACCCAGTTGCTAAATCTGACAGCTAAACACTGAATTCAAGAAACAACAGAGACTGTCTTGAGAAAACTCCAAAACAAGTGATCAGCAAAGTCTTTGGTCAATGAGCCTGAAATTCTTTAGTCTTAAAGCTAATAAGTACCAACACATTAATGTCTGACTACTCCTTAACTGCATGATTTTAAATAGCTATTTTGAACAAGGTTTATACACAATCTATCATCCAGCAACAAGTTACGAAACATAAGTATACAAACCCGTGTTGCTTTCCATAGAAACACCCAATGGCGAGGAGCTTATAAGCCTCTCGCCTCAGAAACAGTAGAATAGCATAGAATGAGTCCAAGTTTAATAAGCAAATCAGAGAGTTATCAAGCAATCGAGACCTTGACTGATTCGTGTTAGCCATCCTTCCAGCATTATATGGTCGACCACGAGGCGGAGCACCAGAAGCGACATTACGAGCAACAGCTGTTGTGAAAGGAAACTGGTTTCCTTGGAAACTAGACCTTCTCTTAGCAAAAGCACCCTGACATTACGATTTAAAGTCAGAACATAATCACAAAGCCAAAAAGAAAAACCATCCAAAATGACAGGACAAAGAAGCTAAGACAACAACACAACAATACTAACTAACCTGTCTAACATCAGACCGTGAGTCCATATAACGCTGTGATTTTACCGTACTGTTTTTAGCAGCACCATTAAAGTTGTCCTTTTTATTCTGCGTCAAAACAACAATCACATACCAAATCAAAGAGACATCAGAGACTCAACAAAGATAAGCTTAAGACTGAATAGTAATTACCGATGCTCTCTGTTTCTTGCCTTTATTCACATTAGTATTGCTCTTTGACATCTTGATGATAGCATCTATGCTCACAAAGAAGACACGAATGATCATGAGTTATGAACAAGGATGCAACTTTGTATTATTGGAAAAAAAAAACATGAAACAAAACCAACCTAAAGACATGTCCATTTTCTTCTCGGTGAGAGCAACGGTCTCTGTAGTAATAGGCTTTTCAGTCCCCATCTGCAAAAAAATCATACCATTGGGGACGAACACAAATTAAACCAAAGAGATTAAGCCAGATATTTGACTGGATTGACGAATCAATCGAAGAAACGCTTAACTATTTTGACTCGTGAAATGAAATCGTTACCGATTTTTAGGAGAAGTTGACTGTATCACTGAGAGAAAAGGAAACGCTTTTCTTTTATTTAATCTTACGACGAGTCAAACCAGAGATAACTGAGTCAACTCGTTAGTAAAGTAGAAACACTAGATCTATTTATGGTCGGCGGATCCCAACCGTTAATTACGTGATGGCACATTTTCATTGGATAAAAGATCGAATAGGGCGATAGATGATTTTTTTTTTGTAAACACTAGATAATTATTCAATTACAAACTACAGTATGAGAAATATTATATACGCTGTTACAATCTTATGAGGACTAGGTTCTTTTCCGGGCTACGCCCGGATTAATTATTTATAAATTGTTTGCTATTTAATTCATAAAATATATTGTAGAACTTTCATGTGAACATATTATCTTTTTGTTGGTTGAATGTTATATAGTTTTTTGGTATTTTTATGTAACAAAAATATTTTTATTCATTTTCTAAAATACCAAAACTAAATTTAGAATACATAAATAGTCCGGATGATGTTGAGAAGTTTTTATTAGTTGTATATCTTCGATTATTATCTCATGAGTTGTAGATGGAGGTTTATCTAACTTAGTTAGACATAAAATGAAGTAATTTCTTTGTTGTTGATTTTTTGTCTCTCTAACTACTTCTTTTGATATCATGCATGGTATAATATCAATTTCATTTTGTTGAAATTTTGAATAATCTATATTATATCTGATGAAATGGAATCTTTTTACTGGTGTCGTGACAATTACTAATATAATTTTCTTTAAAGTTTTTTTCCGGGCTATGCCCGAATTTTTTGTATATATTAAATAAATTTTGATGTATTTGTTTTTGTATATATTTCATATATATTAATCCTGGAGAATTACAATATTTTTTAGTAGTCACGTATCATCATAAGAATTATTTTCAGAATTATTAAAAAAATATCACATATATTATGAATTTTATTAAACTAACTAATAAGTTAATTTGTAATTTACAAAAGAATATTTTATACTCTTTTCTTAAACAAAAGATATGAACTTACATAATATGATTAACATATATAATCCAATTAATGATTATAAAGAATAAATATTTGATAACAATTTTTATCCTCTATAATTTTTTGGTTTTATATTATTATAAAAAATCATATTAAGCATATAATAAAATTTAGATTTTTTTCTTATATGTTATGTTTCAATATTTAAAAAAAAAACGATTATAAATTATTAAAAATGTTTAAAATCTCAACTTGGAAATTTTATGATGAGTGGTAACATTTTTTAGTTCAGCTCTAAATAATTTTCAATGATTAACTAAATATGCCACATTCATAGTAGAAAGTGTTTTGGTTAAAAATTGTTGCGTATTCAAAATTAAGTGTTTTGGTTAAAAATTGTTGCATGTTCAAAATTAATATGAACCATCATCAGTTTTGTGTTGAAATTTTGTTATAATAAAAACTATAAGGTTGCGTAAAAAATCTGAATCCAAATAACTGAACTACATTTAATCTGAAAAATTATGGTATCTAGAGAACCAAAACTGAACCCGATCCGAACCGAAATATTTCGGGTATCGGAGTATATTAGAACCAGATTTATATACTTAAATATATTAAATATTTTCAAATTTAATATCTAAAAGATTATACAAAATACATAAGATGTTTAAATTTTCCAAAATAATTACAAATATTAAAAAAATAGTTAAAAGTATACGTTTAAAATAGATGAACGTTACAAAAAATACCAAAAATACTGAAAATATCGATTGATTTTCTATTCATGAGCAAAACCAATTTTTATTCTAAGTTGACGTGATCTTTAGGTGTACACACGGGGAACATGTTGACGTTCTTCAGAACTTTCAGCCGCCAAAACACGTATGGGAAACTTAACTGATCGAGCGACGTGTAGCGGACAACGTCATTGAACCAGAGGCACATGAAAGGTTCGTCAGTGGTGTGTTCCCTCACAATCACGGACGCTTCAGACAAAGCTCTTAAGTTGAAAACACACAAATAAAACACTACTTGTTGTCACAAAATCTTCATCCTCGCTGAGATTATAAAAAGAGGCTTTATCTTTATTCCCGTTGAATCTTTTATCTTCGGGTAATTTGTCATGCCGATACTGATTTATCTGCACTTCGACTTCTTCAAGTGTAGCTTTGTGTTTCTTGACGACAGCTTTTGCCTCGCCAATCTTATGACCCTGTGCTTCCTGTGTTGCCACTTGCCAGTGTAACTTCATCCCAAAAAGCAACGTAGCATACCTGCAACCACAAACACACAATTAGATGCACAAGACCAAAAGAAGTTATCAAAAGAGTAACAATCTATTCAAAATGCTTATTCAAGAACAGTGACAAACCTTTTGAGTTGATGCCTCAGACATTCCAATAGGTTGGTAAAGGTTATCTCCACAACCAAAAGCACACGTGAAGAGAACAACTTGACAACTTTCCATAAACTTCATATCCTCATCCTCAATACTAAACCCACCATTCTCATTGAAAACCCCACAATGCACTGAAACTGTCTCCCTCACCTAAACACAACGCCAAAAAATAAAAATAAAAAATCAGCAATCAAGAACCATACAATAATGTGGAAAACACAAGTTGTTATTACCAAGTGTCATGACCTGAAAACTACTCTCTCTCTCTCTCTCTCTCTCAGCAAAACTCTGGTTCCCAGTAAGTAAATAAAACCACGAACAGGAGAGCTTGAAAAATCTGTACCAGTTAAGTGCACAAGTTTCTTAACTGGAGAGGTCGAATCTTTACGGTATAAGATCTCAAGATGCTCAAGCTCTTCAGGAGGTAAAAGCTTTAAACAACCTAACACACACAAATCAATCAATAGCAGGACATATTCAAATTAATGTTAAAAAATAGATGGAGAGAGTGGTTATGTTGCCTAACCAACCTTCAGGGAATGACACTTGGTAAATTACAATGACTTAGGGGAGGGGAAATTTTAATAACAAACACAGAGTAGACTATCGGAGGAAATTTTAATATTCTCAATTTTTTTTTATAATCGGATGTAACAATAACAATACTCTAATAGTTTAATCTGAAGACGATGAACATGATAAATACAGAGAATTATATTCAGAAGAACACACTTTTAAACACAAACTCTATTTCTAAATCTCATCAATGAATCTAGCTAAACATCCAACTCCGTTACACCACATCTAACAAACATAAAAAAAAAAGTAAAGAAAACAGAGTCTTTTATATATTCGAAATCCAAAACAAAGGCTTTTAATAACAAAAACAAAGTTCTTTTTGATTCGGAATCACAAAAACACAAGCTTTAGAACGGAAAAAAAAAACAGAGTTGACTAATATAGCCAAAGAACTACCTCTTCGTAGATAAGGATCATCTCCTGTCCAATAAGGGTCTTCGTCCTTGGATTTATAGCCTCCCAGAAGTGAACCAATCGGAACCTCAAGGATGCTTCATGTGAACCAAGAGTAACATCTCTGAAGAGCATCGGAGGGGGGAGAGCCACAGGAGCTCTTGGTTTGGTCGGAGTAAGTGACAAAAGCGGAACCTTGCCGTGAGGCTTGGAGACATTCACCGAGGAAGCTGAAGAGTTCTCATCTTGTTGAGCAATCGTGGAGGAGGAGTTACCCTCTCGATTAGCCGCCTCACAGGATGACATGAGCTTCTTGTTGGTCGTTTGACCGGTAGGGGAGGAAGATTTGGATTTGGTTTCCATCGGAAATCTTGTGAGAGAGTAGAGGTTTTGAAAAGGGTAATCGGAGATTCAGCCAAAAAGAGAGACCTATAAATACTAAATTGGAGAGGAAGTTGAATAGAAGAACTCATTGACTAAGAAAACTGATGATTGATGAGTGTGGGGTTGATTAATGGAAAAACAGTAGTGATCTAAACGGAAGAAGTCGAAGGGTGTTAGGAGATGAGTTCGAAAGGTGAGAAGAGAGGAGTTGCTAGGGTTCTCCGTCACAACAAAAACGGTATTTGGGCCAAAATAGGAAAAGATAGCAAAACCGGCCTGATAATTTAAGCCCAAACATAAATTAAAACCATAAACCAGACGGAAATCAGAACCGCTTTTGGTCCACGGCTAAATCAAAATTTGTGACCCAAACAAATCTGATGTGTAGGTTTAAAGCCCCCCTATTGGTCAATTAAAATTGCACACGTGGATAGGCTGTGGGGGCTTTATTTGCAACTTTTATTAGTGTTAGATTTACGCTGGAATGCCTAAATCTGTTTTAGAGCATCTCTAAAAAGACACTCTATTTTAGAGTTTGTAAAACTCTATATATGAAATTTGTAGATGTTGCGCTCTAAATTCAAAACTTCAAATTAACTTTAGTTCAAATTCATAGATTTTTTATAAATAACTAGCACATATATAAAAATATTAGAGCAATATAAATGATAAAATGTTACACTAAAATATTAAATTATTAATAAAAATATATAATTGAATATTAAACTATAAATAAAATACCACATATGTCTTGTAATATTTTTGATATCTAGTTCTAATTTTAACTATTTTAAACCTTATCTTGTTGTTTAAAAAAAAGTTGTGTAAAGTTAAATTTATAAAAAAAAAATTTGAAATATTTTTGAGATCGAAATTTTTAGGAGTTAAAATGCTAAACCATAAAATATATAAGAACTAGTATAACCCATGTGCTGCGCACAGGTTAATTTACAGTTTCTTAAATTGTTTGATCATGTCATAATTTTAATCAGAATAAATGATTGTTTAATATATTATATGAACAGTGAGTGGCACATAATATAAGAGATTTCTGCACTGAAACTAATCAGTTGAAGGAATAAAACAGATATCATTATGAAATGGATACATGCTTGCAAACTTTTTAAAATACCAAAATATGGAGTATAAACTATAGTTAAAATACTTTATTTGATCCATTAATTTTTTTCTAGAATTTTATAATAAAATATATTTAATTTAATTAATGTAAATTTAAATACGATGAATCTAATATTTTTTTTCTTTTTTTAGTAAAATAACTGCTGCATTGATATTTTATTTTAATTTACCTAACATCTTTTATAAAAAGCA